CCTAAAAAGGCAAAGCCATTTCATCAGAATAACAGTAATACAGTCGGCAGTTCTGAGTGTTCTTCCCGGAATCCAGCGCGCTCTTTGGCCTCAGTTTTCTCAACTGTAACACGAGGTGTTGGATCGCATCTCTGAAGACACTTCTTCGCTATTCTCTGTCTGACTCATTTGAAACCCGTAAAACATCTTTACTAATTTGTCTTCATTTCCTCCGTCAAGTTGCAACTCCTATTCCTTGCAAAACATGCAGAGCAATGCTGTGGAAGGTTCATAGTCCTCAAACTGGTTGCCTCAGGTTTGCAATATGATAAGGACAGAAACCGAGAGTAGGTGTTTGGTAACAATACAATTTGCTGTTGCCTTGACACCCAAGTGGGATTCATTCTTCTTGTAATTCATTTCTAACCTGTTTCACCAAAGCCTCAGTCTCCAGTGAACTGGGGGCAAAACGCCCGCTTTTTCTTTTCTTTTTTTTTTAATTAAAAAAGAATAGATGGGGAAGTGCTGATCTGTAAATAAGGAAAAAAATTTAAATTGCTTTTAACCCCACCATTCAAACTAAGCCAGTTTTGTGAACCAGGGGTTAGAAGTTGAGAGAGATTTGCTTTTGTCTCTATCTGTCTGTTTAGTGAGTTTGTAGTTTTTCATGGCCTACAATTTCTGAAATATACATACTTTGAGAAGCAATATGAAAAATAGGGATAAAAGATACATAATTTGGCCCCAGTAATTTTGCCGAAGTGGATTAACATCTCGGCCTCTGGATGACTGGAGCCAAGGGGAGAACGTTGCAGTTGAAAACCAACCTTTTGCCAGTCGCCAGCTCCGCTCGATTCCCCAGGACTGTCTGGGTTTCAGTGGATGAGGTTCTGTCCTAGGAAGGACCTTGGTGCCCGCCTGGCTGGCAGAGGCTCTCTGCCACCTCTATGAGGATTCAGGCTTCCACCCAGGTGTCTGTGGCCACCTTTTCCCGCTGAGTTGAAGTACGTGTCTGCAGTTTTCTGAGGGACTCGGAGAAGAACTGAGGAGCCGTCAGGAGATGGCCTGTGTCTGTCAATGGTCACCCTCCACATCCTGATGGAGGCCCAAGGACAGCACTGCCTTTGTAGCCACAGAAGGAAAAAAAGGCAAGGTGGCACTACCTGGGGGTGTTTTCATGACCCCCACCACTGAGTGTTATAAGCTAGTGACTGAGAGGCGAATGGACACACACAAGCATTAGGTCATCTTTATACCCACGAGAGGGCATGGTAAGAAAATTGGTGGGAGCAGGATGTTCAAAATGAGGGAGAAGAGCAAAGAAAGGAACTGCAGAATTCCTAATAAGACAAAGAGCAAACTTAAATGTGTGAGAAAATATATATTATATAAATAAGACCTTTTCTCAAAGTTGAAGAAACATACTTTAAATCTTCATCCCCATTTATAATCTGAAAGACTACTTCAGTATGTATTGGCAAGGGAATTTGCCCATTTGGGTCAAATGATGATTGCCCCAGACTTGCCTATTCTAACCTTAGTAGGAGGCAGGAGATTCAGCTATTCATACTCTCCCAGTGTGGCTCAGGGAGTCAGTCTCTTTGCCAGCCCCTTTCTGGCTACCCTTGACCTTCCTTCCCTAGACAATCTCCCACAATCAATGATGGAGCAAGCCTTGTACCCCTCAAGAATGCTAGGGGATCTCACAACTTGCCAAGGTTTAAGGAAAAGTAGGAAGTAATGCGGTTAAAATTCTCTTTGCTCTGGGAAAGGATTACTGCCTTTATCTCCTTTCCCACAGAGGCATTCATGACTTCTTTTTGTTAAGAAAAAAACATTTCCATACCTGCTGCCCAGTCCCATCTTCTCCCAACGCTCACCCATACACCACGGACCCCATAGAATTTGCCATCAAAGTAGCTGCTGTGGTTTTTGTGACTTTGAAGATTGGGGCTTCAAATGAAATAAACTCTCCCTTGGTTATAATCTCAATGATGGAGACTTTTTCTTTGTTCTCAAGGAATCTCAGCCATGACATCAAAACCTGGGATTGATTCTGATCCCAGCATTTTTCTCCCCTGATTATGGTCTTTCCCCTCCCTATTCTGAGCCTTGTGCTCTGGGAACTGTGGATGGGCTAGTTACTTTCCTTTTCTCCAGAAGAGGCCACAGCAAGGCTTCCTCGGGTGACTTTGCAAATCTTCAGATGGTCAGAGACTGACTTTGGGAGAAAGGAGAAAGTACTTCCTTGACAGCTGTCTCAGGCCATCTTTACCAGAAGTAGAGTCTAACAAAGATATTTGTGCAATGACCCAGTGAGAATAAGTTCTCACTAGAGTGTGGGTGAGAGAAGCAGGAAGAGGAAGGAGCTCACAAACCTGTAGTTTCGAGAGAGGTCCAGCCTCAGCTGATCTTGTGAGGAGCTCTTGGCATGAGGGTTAGACTCTTAAAACTTACAGATTAACTTGCCTTTCGCTATAGGCTGCCCCTGGGGGTAAAGCTGTTATGTTCTGGAAATCTCTAAGGTAGGCAGCTCACATCAGCTGAGGGCAATCATCGAGAGATGGTAAAGATGTGAGCCCTTAGGACTGAAGGCCTGCAGCAGGCAGCTGGAGTCTGGTGCTCTCAGCTGGGTAAAGGGGTCTGAGCAGGGCACCAACCACACCAACTACAACAGCTAAAAGAGTTGGAAATGAGGAATCGGTGGACTGATACATTATCTAAGAAGGATTGAGATGATATACAAATCCTATCAGAGTATAGTTTAGTATAGTTTAGTATAGTATAGTATAGTATAGTATACTATAGTATAGTATAGTATAATATAGTACACCTAACTCAAAGCATGGCACTTTGAGGGTACCATGTTCTTTGAATAGATTGGGTTACAAAGTAACTCTGGAGGGGACATGGACATGGTTCGATTCAGTCCCTTCATCTTATAAACGATGAGAATTAGTTCAGAATAAACCCTTCCTGGAAACCAGCTCTGATTCTCAGTCTTTTGCTTTTGCTTAAATTCAACCCAACCCATATTTGTTGAAAGCCTACTATGTATAAGGCACAACTTTAGGCACTGTGTGGGCAATCGCAAAACACAAAACAGCCTCTCCCTTGGGACTTTACGGTTTGGGAGAAGGAAAGAGAATGGAAGAAAGAAATAAGAATAGCATGCAAATCAAAATTCAGATCTCAGCCCAGGAGCAGTGTGGGTTAAATGCCGTGGACACACAGAAGGGTGGTTTGTGCTCATCTCATTCTAATGGATGGCCTTTATTCCAAATTGCTCTGTATTTCAAATGATGTAAAAAGAAAACATCCTGCCCTTCTTGGCTGAGGCTGAAGAATATAAGTACGCAAGTAGGGTTCTGGGAAAAGGGGGAAAACCCAAACAAACAAACATGAACAAGCTATCACTTTTCAACAGGTCATTTTGCTTTGAAAGCTTCTTCGATTCTTAGCCTGGGAGGGCAAATGAGTGAAAAGTTTTACTCATTAAGTAGGATTACTTTAAAGCTGTAAGTCAAAGGTCCTAGTACCTTGAGAGAAAAAATGTTCAATCTAGCCCACTCTCCCCTTTTAGCTCAAACATGTTTTTGTAATGGAGTATTTTCTTTGAAATTGTCCTGTGCCTCCCTGACAGGTATATTAGTCCACCCACTTGAACTAGTGCATTAATATCCAACCAGAGTTCATGCACTGCTACTTTGGAGAAGATCTGCAGTTCATTCATTCTCTTACTGATTCCTTCATTCACTCAGAAAATATATATTGAGAGCCTATTGTATGGGGGGCCCTCTCACAGGTGCCAAGAGTGTAAGAATGAGCGAGGAACTCTGAATCTGTCCTCAAGTGCTCACAGTCTAGTTGGGTGACACAAATAAGCAGGTGATTATATTTAAATATAACAGATGCTACACCAGAGCTCTGCCCGGGACATCTGATCAGGAATAGCAGGGGGGCTATTCAAGGAAGTTTCTATAAAGAAATTGACCTTGGCTGCAACCCGAAGCCCTAGCAAAGGGCATCATTTTCTATTATTTTCTTTAGAGTGTGTCTCATTGAAGGAAAAGTACTTTTTAAAATTTTGTCTGTTAATGCTATGAAAATCTCTCCCCTCTGTCATCTTAACAGCATTTTGCAAACTCCCCCCCCCATCATTGCTATCCTAAGGAGCCTTTGTAGACATTTTTTTCTTAATCACTAATTCCCATGAAAGTATACACAATATAAATAATTTTAGCCATTTTTAAATGTACCACTTGCTAGCATTAAGTATATTCACAATGTTATGCAACCATTGCCATTATTTATTTCCAGAACTTTTTTACCTTCTCCAGCTGAAACTGTATAGCCCACTAAATACTCACACTCAATCTCTTCACCCTGGCAACCATTGTTCTGTGTCCTGTCTCTATAAATTAATTTATTCTAAGTACCTCATATAAGTGGAATCATACAATATTTAGTTTTTCCTGACTGGCTTATTTCACTTAGCATAACATTTCCAAGGCCCATCCGTGTTGTAGCATGTATCAGAATTTCATTCCTTTCTGGGCTGAATATCGCCATGAACTCTAACACCACATATGCAATCTGTTGATGTACTACGGACCCTTGTAGGGCTACAAAGCATTATAATATGTGAGCCTGTCTTTACTTCCCAGGAACCAGTTTTGCTCCATGGGGGCAACATCGCCCCATTGAGAATGTCTGTGTTAAAATGTAAGCTTGGTGACCTTGTTGCTTTTGCTCTCCTCTCTGTCCCCATTGGTCAGCCCAACACCTGGCACATAGCAGACACTCAGTGGTCATCTGTGGAATACTTCTCAAGCTCCCTCCACAACCACCCTTCCTTCCTGCTTTAATCCACGATTATTAACAACTGTGCTCAGAGTGATCATGGATACACTTTGACCCGCAGTGCCTCATGCCTTCCAACCAGACCTCCCAACATGCTCCTGTCCACCAGCTATACACACCCTCCTTGATGGCCCTTTGTTTGTCTGCTTTCTTGACAGAAGTGAAAGAGTATGAGCCTCCCTTTGGTTCCAAGGTGCGGGAGCACCCCTGTGTTGAAAGCATGAAGGACAATGTGTTAAGAGATCGGGGACGACCAGAAATCCCCAGCTCCTGGCTCAACCACCAGGTAAGGGGTGACTTTGGTGAGGGAAGCATCTGAGGTGACCTCTTAGGTAGGAGAGAATCTTGGGCTACCGGGCTTCAGTCTGAGGGTGGGTTCCACTGTGTTCTGTGATCCAATTAGGTTTTGTTTCTAAACAAATTTCAACAAAGTGGGGCTGACCCTGTTATTTTAAGTTCCAACTGGCAGGTAGAAACTATGTTCAAAGAGAGCCCACAAATAATTGTTTGAAGGGCATTTGTCATGTTGTCCAAGCCCCCTGGTTCCAGCTAAAATATTTTGTTTGTGGCCTCTGCTACTCAGTGCCAGATCTTTCCACAGGGACCTTATGTTGGGTTCCTTTCTGGTTCCACATGTTTTCTTCTGGAAATTTTCAGCTGTAGGAGGAAATACTTAGCAGAGAGAAATGAGCAGAGGGTGTCAGCCGGCTGGACTGAGAGGCGACTGCCATGTGCTTGGGGCCGTGCACGGGCGTGTTGTGCAGGCTGGGCGGGCGTGTTGTGTAGGCTGGGTGCACCGAGCCGAGAAAGAGGAGCCCAGCTCCTCAGTCAGGAATGAAGAGGGCCAAAGAGGAGCAAGATGCAAATGAACAAACAGAAACTCTATGTGTTGGGAACATCTTTACGGCTCCTTTTTTACTTCTTTTCCAGAAATAGTAGGTAAAGCCGTCCATTGCTGGGCAGTAGTTCAGACTTACAAGGAGACCTATCCAGATTCTCTGGGGGCACCTGGATGAGGGCAGTGGGCAGGGGAAAAAGAACAAAGTGACAGGATGTGAAAACAAGGGGCCTGTGACACAGCCAGGAAAGAGCACGAGAGGGACAGTGATCCCTGTGTCAGTGACAGAACTGAACTTTCCACTACAGAAAACTTTCGGTTGCCTGCTTTGGATGAATTCCCTTATCCAGTGAAGGCTGGGGCTAAATCGTAGGTTTTCCTGAGGGTGAGGCAAATCCAGATAAGAAACAGAAATAAGAAGTCAGGCATGACCGGGAAGACCGATAGAGCAGGAAGCCTGGCCTGGAGCCATTTCCAAGGACAAAACCTAATGATGTGGCAGCAGCCCAGGGCTTCCCAGGCTTTTGAGCAAGGCCTCTTGGACTCTGACAATGCAAGAGTGCTTTGTGTTAACTCTGAAATCAAAAGCCACCAGTGTAGTTTCTTTCAAACGCAGTTGCCTCCTAAGCTGTACAGTTCTTATAATGAAGCCATTATTCATGATGATAAAATTCTGGAAAGAATTTGCATAATACATTTTTTCTCTTAATGAGATTTGTTGCCCTATTGATTTCAAGTTAATGCTTAATATTTAATTTAATTTACTGCCTGTAATTACAGTGTCAGAATAAAATAAATGTTACTTGTGTACCAACAATAACACTCCACTCTTAACAGGGCCATCAATCAATACTGTCAATTAGGTGAATTATACAATTAATTCAACATCATGAACGTGATCACTCACAGGGCAGGAAGGGAGGGAGAGAGGCTCCCAGGTGTGTTAGGAAAGTTACAAGCACAAGGAGAGGGCAGGTCCTCAGGGCAGAGTTCGGACGCACCCACACCCCCAGGCCCACCTGCCTGGCAGGTCAGAGGCACACTCTGTTTCTGCCTACAGGCTATCTATTTAAGCCCCGCCTGCTCTATTTCCCAAAAGGACTCGGGCGATAGTAAAAACATTTGCAACACTACATGAACCCGAGGGCCCTAAAAGAAGACCCAGGCAGCAGTACTGGGCAGCATTTCCTAAACAGGCTTTGTGACCCTGGGAAAAGGCAGGTCTGATGTACAGACAGCTGCATCCCAGGGTCCGGCCTGATGTCGGAGTGGTGTGGGGCAGAACAGAGGGCGTCCTTGGCAGTTGCTTCCAGATCACCCTGCAAAAACCTGTGGACTTTACAAAACAAAACCAGACTCATGCCTCGACGTCCCACTGCCTGGGGTATTTGGTTCTGTTAAAACATAAATGTGTACATGGTTCTGACCACAAGACACTGTGGAAAAGGCAACACCACAGAGACAGTACAAAAATCAGTGGTTGCCAGGGACTTGGGGGAAGGGGAGGAAGGAGGGCGACCAGGTGGAGCAGAGGGGATTTGCAGGGTAGTGCACTTACTCTATGGGATACTATAGTGGTAGATACATGTCATTATATATGTGTCAAACATGCAGTGTGTATTCTAATGTAAACTATGGACTTCAGTTGATGCGTCAACGTTGGTTCATTGGTTTTAACAAATGTACCACAGAGATGCAAGTTGTTGATGTGAAGGAGACTGGGCGGTGGCAAGGGGGATGTGGGAACTCTGTACTTCGCACTCGGTTTTGCTGTGAACCAAAACTGCTCTAAGCAAGAAAGGCTGAAACTGCAGCTAAAATGGGGAAAGGCATGAAATGGAACTTTTCAGGCACTGGAGATGCTGCTGTCTCCCAGAGGCCTACTGGCGGGCCCTTGCGCTATCTCTCCATTTCACAACTTATTGTGACCTAAAGGTACCAGAGCAACTAGGCACGGCAGGCTGTACCCAGGACAGTGCACAGCCACCTGCACAGTGTCCTCAGCCAACATGCCACTGGCCGGCCTCATGCTGTGGGCGCTCTGTCGGCATGTGCTCAGAGCACCTGGCTTGTACTGTGCAAACAAGGTCAGCAGACCACCTTGCCCTCCGCGGAGCCCACCAACCCACCAACTCATGTTGCCTGTGGACTTCTCTTCCTCTGCAGGGCATCCAGATGGTGTGTGAGACTCTGACCGAGTGCTGGGATCATGACCCAGAGGCCCGTCTCACGGCCCAGTGTGTGGCAGAGCGCTTCAGCGAACTGGAGCACCTGGACAGACTCTCGGGGAGGAGCTGCTCCGAGGAGAAGATTCCCGAAGATGGCTCGCTGGGCACTACCAAATAGCTCTTCCAGGGCAGGCTGGCCCAAGTCCAAAGAGGTCACCCCTGTTGCCAAAGAACGGAGGCAGCAGGAAGCTGCCCCTAAACCAATGGATGCTTCCTGGAATAGCAGGACCCACTCCCCTCCCTGTAGGCTGTGGGACTGAGCAGCAACAACAGTGACAGGGAGTGGGTGACATGAAGCATTCTATGCCTTTGACGTTGTCATAGGATAAGCTGTGTTAGCAGTTCCTCAGGAAATGAGATTGATCTTTACAATAGCTAATAACATTTGCACTTTATTAATGCCTGTATATAAATATGGAATAGCTATGTTATATATATATATCTATATCTATATATAGCCATACTCTGGAAAGAGACAAAGAAAAAGATCAGATATTCCCAGGAAATTGGTTTGATTGGAGAGTTCCAGAGCTGTGTGCAGAAGAAAGGATCCATGACAACATTAGCACTTGACAATCACACACGGACGGATGGTTCTCTGACTACGCGAGGAGGCGCTTTGCATTAGGAGAACGGCTCCGTGTGTCAGAGCCTGCCACGGCCACTTTGCACTCGCTTTTGCAATACGGTTCCTTACGTGTGGGACAAGAACAAAGAATGAGCTTTAATACAGCACAGGAAGCTTGTTTATCCACAAACAAGTGTTAATGCTGCAAATAATCTCTTTAAAAAAAAAGTTTTTGAAGCTACTTATTTTTCAGCCAAATAGGAATATTAGAGAGGGACTAGCAGTGTCAAATCAGTTCTATTTGGATTTTGGAAGATCTCATCTCATGGGGGTTTTATCAGACGTGCTGAAGTTTGGGATCAGGTGGGACTTCTAGGCACCCTGCCCTGTGGGGTGGGCTGAGACCATGAAGGACCCGTTGGCGGCAATACCATGAAGTGCCCAGAAATTTCATGCACTTTGAGGCTGTTGCCACCATCCCAACAGCTGTTGCTCATTGACCTCTAGTGGTGAATTTCTAGAATACTGGTCCACTGATGATTCATACGAGCTTTATCACTTCTGGGTGATGGTCAGCATAAACTGGAATGTAGTATCAGATGATACTGTGGCTTGTTTTGTTTGTTTGTTTTCTTATTCAAGAAAAAGACCAAGGAATAACCTGTAGTTCCTAAAAATACTGACTTTTTTTACTACTATACATAAAGGGAAAGTTTTATTCTTTTATGGAACACTTCAACCGTACTCATGTATTAAAATAGGAATGTGAATGCTATATACTCTTTTTATATCAAATGTCTCAAGCACTTATTTTCATACTGTGCATCATTTGTCTTTTATATAAATAAAATGTTTAATAGATTGAATAAAGCAAAAATACTCAGGTCAGCTTCTTGCCTCCTGTGTCTCCTCTTAACAGCTAAGCCCTTTAGCCCCTGTTCCTGTTTATAGTAACAACCCCTTAGCCCCCACTCAGTTATTTTGCAGTTTATGTAGAAATATATCACAAAACAAATCCTCTTTAACTTTTCTATTGTCATCATCTTCTTCAACTGACAGTCTTAGATCCCTTTAAAAAAAAAAAAAGCATTCATGGAAGCTCAATAATGAAATGCTGCAGATGCTACTGGTGGCATGCCCTTTATCCTGAGGCCCTGGCGGGTCACTCCGCATCTCTCAGCAGCCATCCAAGTCTGTTCCCTTCTCCCCTCCATTCAGGAAGCTGTCTGCATCCATATGACTGCTTCTCCCAGGCCTTGACACAGCCAGGGACACTACTAAGAGCACATGCCTCTTTCTCCTATTTTCTCCTTTCCTTGGGCTGCCAGCTGGCTCCTGACTATCTTTTGACTTCTGCCAGGTGTCCTGCTTCCTCCCTCTTCCTCTCTAGAGAGGCAGGTATCCCACCTGAGCCTTGTAATTAGCCTATCTGCATCACCAGGCAGACGTGCCTGGGACAGCTGGCTCCAGGTCATTGCTTACAGACTTTCTGGTGACAAGGTATGTGTGGGGTTTTTGCTCCAACTTTTAGCTGTCTGATTTGGAATCGAAGATATTGTGGCTTCTGAATTCTCAGCTGGGTTCTTAATAGTTACAGTGATGAATAGTTAAGATAATAGTGCCTATCTCTGAGCTTCGAAACCTCAGCACCACTGACATTTTTGTGTTAGACAATTGTTTGGGGAGGGGCCTGTCCCCTGCATAGTAGGTTGTATAACAGCATCCCTGACCTCCCCAGTAGATACCAGTAGCACCCACACCCACAGCCGTGACAACCAAAAATTTCACCAAATTGGAATTGCCAATGTCACATTGGAAATCACTGAGCTAGATGATGTGGTCCTGTACTATGGTGGGTATTAGTGATACACCTATCTTAGCTAATGGCTTGGCAATGTTACTGGGTCCTAACTTTAGGAGTTACCTGCTCCTCTAGGTACCAGCTCTGTGACCTGGGCAAATTATATAACTTCTTCGTGCCTCAGTTTCAAATGGGATTTTAACAGGCCTCCACCTACACAAGATACTGTTGTGACAAGAAATAAATGCAAGGCTCTTGGAGTTGTGTCCCAACCTTGGAAAGCCTTCATACCTATTGGCCACTATTATAGTATAGGTTGGTTTAGTATGCCAAGACCTGCTTTCCCAAAGAAGCAGATTTTGAGATAAATCCTAGAGAGCATTAACCACCTGCAGAAGGACAAGGGATGCACTACAAGCCTGGAGAACAGGAAGGTTTCTGTCCCAAGTGAGGATCAAGAACCGGAGGCAGACTCACCTTCACCGAGTAGGTGTGGAGGCAGCAGGGTTAAGCCTCCACCCGCTCCGTGAGCCAGGCAGAATGCCCATTTTCCAGGGGAGAAATCGTGCTTGGAGAACTCAAGCAAGAAGCCTGTGGTCTCACAGAGGTAGAATCAGCATGAGAAAGCCAAGTTGTCTCGAGATGAGACTCTGGAATCACTTGGAGTAGTAATTTGGAGTAATGCTTGGTTCTTCTCTCTACTCAATGCTGTCTCCTGGGGGAACTGGCCTGCCCAGTGGGATGAGAGCAACCGCCCCGTCCTCCTCGCCATGTCGAAATGCTCCAGGACTCATCTCTTTGCTCAGGGAGGGCAGGGAAGATACCTTCTCATTTCTGTTGCCCAACTTGCTCTTCACCCACCTGATCAGTGTCGTGTAGATTCTTGCTGAGAGAACCACTGGAAGGTGAATGGCACTGCCTTTGCCTAGCGTGTGAAATGTGCACTGGTATTTCAGTTGATTTCAGAGTATGCCAACCTTTAAAAACATTAGTTTGATGGGTCTGTTTTTTTTATTTTAATGGATTAAAAAAAATAAACACATTAAGCCTAGGCCTCCACAAATATCATTACCTGATCTATCGCCGAGTTACAAAACTCACATTGATTTTTTAACTGCAGTAAGTACATAATGGTGCTTATTTTTGGCAACTACAGGGGATGTGAATATCAGTGATTGAAGTTAGCCCCGCACAAGGGAGCAAATCCATGTTCATTGCTAACATATATTGAGCACTCCATAAGTGCCAAACTGTTTTTATTTTCTTTATTGGCTTTAATCTTCACCACAGACTTAGGAGGTACTCCTACCTCCATATTAGAGATGAGGAAACTGAGGCAGCTGGCGAGGCCTTGCTAACAGTCCTGCAGTTTGGGCCGGGACTCAAACTGAGGCAGTCAGGCAGGCACCAGAGCCCACACTCCCTCCTGCAGAGGAGATGAAGCTGTAGTTAGAGGGCAAGAGGAAGCCTCCGGAAGGCTCCAGGGTCCCAGGGTCCAATTCCTTAGCCTCTGAAACAGGAGGAAGATGCAGTTTGCCCTGGACGGGAGGGCCTGGCCCTCAGGGAGCCCAGGAAAGTCATTCCTCAAAGGCGCACAGACTCTGGGCTCCAGCCCAACAGCCTCGGCCAAAACAGGAGCCAAGGTCGTCTAACTTCTGCCGGCTCCGTTTTGCCAGGGTTATTTCAGTTCTTGCTACTTCAAGGTCAGAGGCATTCCCAGTGGGCAGTCAGTCTCCAAGTGCCCTCTACAGGGATGTGGTCCCCTGCACCGGTCGGCAAGGTTTGAATGCGGGCTCTTTGTGCCCAGGAGTCTCCACTCAGTGGTGGGTTTTGTTTTAAGTTCTCTCTGCAAATGATGTCCCAGCAGCGCAGTCCCGAGGGAAATCCCTTTCCTAGGTGACTGACAGAAAACTTTTCTTTTCAACGAGTGTCCATCCTTTTTCACAAGTCACTAGAGTTGGCATCTGCTCATTTAGTTCATTTTCTTCCTGAAACAGGCTGCCTAATTGTTGCTTATCACATTTCCAATTAAGCTTTCAGTTTGGGGTGGGGTTTTTTTTACTTCAATAATTATAGCTCCAGACCATGGGTCTGGGGACACGGCTTTCAGGCCTACTTTGCAAACTGTGCCCATAAAGGCAAGATCATGAACTTGCTTTCGCACATTACATGGCCTGCCAATCAGCCTCAGACGCTGTAATTCAACTCTGATACACCTCCTGATCTCGGGGGCATTTAAGAGTAACTTGTTAATAGTCGTCCTAGTCTAATTAAGCCAAAATCACCTACACTGTGAAATGCTCTCTTTCTGCACACACACGCACACACGCACACATTTGATCCTTAAAAATCACTTGTGCATGCAGCCCACGCAGCACAGTGCTTCTGCGACTGTCCTCAAAGTCCTCTCTCCGTCCAAGCCCGAGGTGGTGGGCAACAGAATAAGCACAGCCCTGGTGCCCTAGGGTCGTCAGAAAAATTGCCTTTGAAATTCATGTTTGTCTGAATAGTCATATCAACATGGTTAAACCTGGGACCTCTAAAGCCAGGCACTTTGGTTCACACCCAACCTCTGCCACTGACGAGTGATAGGACTTTGTTTTGGTTTTTCAAGGTGTAGAATGGGGACCAACCAAGGAAAGGAATAAGAATCGCCATTAAGAAAGAGGTACCAGGGAAAGAGAAATACGTATGATTTCATTTCTACATGGAATCCAAGAAAGCAAAGACACAAAACAGAAATAGTCTCATAGATACAGAGAACAGACTGACGGTTGCCAGAGGAGAGGTGGGGTGGAGATCTGGGTAAAAAAAGTGGAAGGGGATTAAGAAGAACAAATTGCCAGTTACAATCACAGTCACAAGGATGTGAAGTACAACACAGGGAATATAGTCAATAGTATTGTAACAACGATACATGGGGTCAGATGGGTACTAGGCTTCTGGGGGTTCATTTTGTAAGTTATAGAAATGTCTAGTGACTATGTTGTATGCCTGAAAGTAATATAATACTATAGGTTGATTATAATTAATTTTTTTAAATAGAGTCTTGCTAAAAAAAGTAGAAGGGAATAGAATGGCAAACTATTAATCATTATTAGAGGGAAGGTGATAGAAGGAAGGAGGAAGGAATAAAGGAAGGAAAGAATAGAGTGTCCTGTTTTAAAAGTGGTTAAAAGAAGAGAGAATTGTGCACATAAACATTAGTTATTATTACCAAGTTTTTATACTCTACTCTGAAATGAGGCTCTTATAATAGTTTAACATTGTTCCCAAAATCTTGGGGGAAGTGGATACTGGAGGAAGAGGAGCCATGTTCACCTGTGGCTGTG